GCTCACTGTAGATGTCAGCACGGACTGGCTACAAGGCAAGGGGAAGCACTGGATGGTAGGAGAGCAACTGCTGCACAAGGGACGGCTCACTGTAGATGTCAGCACGGACTGTATACAAGGAAAGGGGAAGCGTTACAATGACAGTTTTATGGAACTTTATCTCAGGAGAAAAATGCTCCGATTGCTCCTGGAGCCGCGTGGCCCGCCGGCGGGCCGCAGCAATAGCCCGCGAAAATCGCGCTCGGTCCCACACGCCAGACACGCTTAAAGGAGGAAGGAGGCTTGCTCAGACTGCGGTAGCAAAGGCAAAGAATGGGAAGGGGGACCTATTGCAGGAGAAACTCAATGGTCAGTGAGCAGAGAAATTAGTGTTCAGGTCGGCCAATGTCTGACTACTCACTACACCGGGTTAGTTAAGAACAAGAACAAGAAGTGTAGTCAACAGTCAAAGAACAGCGATCGTGCCATCGCGAGATAGCTAGCCGAGCTGAGGCGCACGTTGAAAAAAACCTCGACATCATCCTAATCGAAAATTTTTATCGAAAGAACAGCTCCGCAGAACTGACATTTTGTACGAGTAGGATATGAATCGGCGGTGCTTCAGGACATTCAAAAACAAGGTACCCCGGGCAATGGTCGGTCAAGAACGAAGGCATGAGTGAGGTTATGCACACGGTTTTTATTCGCGTGAAGGCGATGGAACAGTGTTTGCGGCGGAAGTGGTGTAGTGGCAAGTGGCGCACTATATCATATGCACGATCCGGGGTTCGGATCGCGGAACGATGCCTGCCTAGGTCAACCAAGCCTTCCATCCCTCCGGGGTCGGTGAATTGGTAGCAGACTCGTCTGGGAGGATAAAAGCACTGACTTGTACATCGGCTGGCCGCCGCAAGTAACTGTATAGGCCACATACGCATTCATTACGCCACTACGATTCTGAATGGAAGTCGAGTGCGGGGGCGCATCCCTCAGACGGGATTGATTGACGCCAAAAAAAACTTAAAAAAAAAAAACGAGATGGCTGTATTGAATAGAGACGGATCGAAGCCCGATAAGTTCCATGTTGCTCGATCATACTATGATTCTTGGAGAATTCCTCAAGAAAAGATCCTTTAACACAGATCGCATCGCTGTTCTGATGCACAAGCGAGACACTAGCTACTTTTTGATGAAAGTAGTGTCATATTTTCGAACCGTTGCCATTTAACAAGCCATACTCGAAGGCACTGTTCAAATAATTTTGAGGTATCTGGTCAGAGTGAAATACTGTGTTATGTTGAAGACGAGGACGCGATATCAGTTGTCGCAATGGCATAAAAAACTGGTTACAAAGGTCGAAAATGGGACAAAAACTGCTCTCCAGTGGGCGCATATTGTTATGCCTGTCCAGCCTGTTTTCGCCAACAATATCCCATGTACTGTCTTTGGAGGTCATAGGTTCATACTATAGGTGATTTTTAGAAACTATTCTATCATGAACTGCGGCTTTGAGTTTTGACGATTCGGTGCTTCAGATACGCTTCATTCAGCCTAACTCTTTCAAAGCGCAGAACTGAATGAACGGGAGCTGAACCGATATAAAAGTCATGTATGTCAAATAACCCACCGCTCACGTTTCGTCATTGTTGGATCCTTAACAGAAAATCGCATCCATGAATGCATCATCAGGTATGCATCGTCGACACCTTAAATGAAATAACTGCACCTAATGGGCTGCTTATAAAGACATAAGGGAATACGTGGTCGGACTGGGATGATCTCCGAGCATTCAGCAATCATACACTTGGCATGGACTGGCCTGTCCTGGAATTAACTTCGTTTGCTCACCTATAGCTAATACGAGAAACGGTGTGACGAAGAGTATCGAAGCAAATCGAAATCCACACCAAAAGAGGAATCCCAGTGCCGATGATGTGGCCAGAAGCGGACAGATGCAGCCAAAAATCGCATCGATGATTTTGTAGTTGCTCCACTGGAACGAAATGACATATTATTTCCATAAGAGCACTGTTGTATAGACTGTGCTAAGGCTTTTAGGCCTTGATAGGTTTGACTCTGATTGGAAGATGAAAATTTTGCCTTTCATGTTCCCGTCTGTTATAAAACTTCATTATCGGGACAGGTTAGCGGGGATACGGCATCCAAGTGACCTACAACTTCTTTCCTGGATATTTACACAATACTTTCGATTGATTTCCTTATTGTTCTCGACAAGTTGTCAGCATCAACAGCCCATTGCGGAAGCGTATAATCGCTAGAGTATGTCAAGGTGAAGTGTCAAGCTCTACAGCATAGCGAAGCCTAAAGATCAACACCAACATCAGTGAGTCGCAACAGAACACCTGTGGGTTCCCGAGAATAAGGATCCCTACCAAGTATATGTAGCAGCTGGAAAAGGCGGTGGGCTGGTGAAAAGTTAATGTAAGGGTCACATCGCACCTGAATGATCCGTGCAATACCAGATGGAAGTCAAGCACCGGGCGAATTTCGAAAAGAGTTTTATTATCATCAAAAATTTTGCCATTCACCCCTTTATCACTTCTTGAAAGCTCGAGCAAGTGCTAAGAAAATGGATTTTGGATTTGGAAGTCGATCGCATCTTTCTATCAAAACACTTTCAACTACTGTACCTGATTCATCCGCGAACTGCTGTAGTAGACGGTGACGACGGAAAAAATACTCATCACAACGAAGCCAACAGCCAGGTATGGAAAGATTGTCAATCCTAAAAAATTGGCATCAGTAGCATCATTCGCACTTTGATGCCTATATGATTCACAGCTGAATTTCCAAAGTCTTTCATTTTGGAACGAAATATTAAGCTAAAGAGGCGCAAGTAAATAGTCGGTGGAAGGAGTACTTCTCGCCTGACCTTTCGCTCTCCAGTTTGAAGGAATTACAGTTTTTTCTTTGAGAGTTGTTTTTTAAAATTAGTACTGAATCCTACCTGGGAATCCAAAGGGAGAAATCAGTTCAATCGTTTTCCCGATTGGAGCAATAAAAATAATTACCTGTTCTGACGATCTCATCTGAGGTGTACGTTAGCGAGAAACAGTAGACCTCAAGCAAGTCCGACTTCATTTCCCTGAAGAATAGATCTGTACTGGTTCGGGTTGAATTACTCATGATGGTGGCAAGTAGCACTATCATACGGAGGAAAGCCTGGGACCTACGCCTGACGATTGTCCAGGCCAAATTCAGTTGGTAACAGAATTGTTTGGGAGTACGAAAACACTAGCTCATAGATCGGCTGGCTACCGCAATTCTTTAGATAGGCTAAATACGCATCCAAGCACAGAACGATTGTGTATGGAAGTCAAACACAGGGCGCGTCCCAAAACGGCTTCGACTACTGCTACTGACTTAATCCTTTCTCTTTTTATGTCGCGTACTGATCTCGAGGGCCACACTGAAGAGGAAACGGCCATCTCGTAATTAAGGTGGAATTCCTGCAGGACCGTAATAATCGGCTTCTCTACTACCATCTGAAAACCACACAGAATACCTCTCTAAAATAGAGTACAGTAGAGAACCTCGAAATCAAGCTATTCCAACCTTTCTCGAGCTATGCAGTTCGATGGGCTGACGAGGAGTCAGCTTTCACAAACTTATAGCACAATGTTTTTCTTCTGGATAAACGGTTCACAACAGAAAATGGCTCGAGAAGTTCTCAAACAGGACGAATCTGCGGCCACCATATTTGCTACATGTCAGAGACCAGCGACACTTTTGAAATTAGAGCTAGTCGCGACCCCTTGCGGCAGCGTGGGTAATCTTTGTGATTTTCGCCTACTGTAGCCAGCAATTTACGCATTTGCACACAACGGAATCTGTCCAAATACTCCTACATACTATTTTCGCCATGGAAATTTCGTGCGATTCCGTATTTTCATACATTTTAGTGGTTAGGTTTCGTGAATGTAGATTGAATTATGCCCTTCGCCAGCGATGCACTACTCTTCAGCAACACTTTCGCTTTTTACCTCGGAAAGGGAACCTCGAACTAATCGTGGAGTGTAAGTTTAGGGATTTAATGTCGGGTTCTGCAGTTTCGGGGAAAGAAACCGTACAGAACTCGTTCGCATGGTCATTTTCGTCATTCTATCCTCTTCTGATCGGGAAGCTGTGAAAGGTGTAAGCAGGCGCATGAGTCCTACCTACAGATCGGCTAGGAAAAATCGTATCTAAGGGAATGGCCTTGCTTTCGCTTCTCTGAATGCCTCCATTCACAAAACTTGGACGTGACAGTCTATTCTCATTTTCAGGACTTAATGGGACAAGAAACCATGATTGCTAAGCGCAAAAAGTTTCTGTTCATTTTTGTAGGGTGAACTTAGAATTGTTGCTTTTTTTAAAAGAGTAGTTCCGCTAGAAAAAAAAAAGCAGACTTACGTGTGAAAATAGGCAGATACGAGGCGTTCGTATGCCTGCAAATCGTATTTTGTCCAATTCGCTGGCGGATTGGCTCGCAGTTGAAAGGCGACAACTTTTAGGAATTCCACCGTATCGTCAGTTTTGTTAGTTCTAACGCCAAAGAAATTTGGGCTGAGGTCGAGATCCTTGCCGAGCACATTCATGATGGGAAATGTGACTGTGAAATGATCCTGTATTCTGGCTGACTTGTTCCTCATCACCAAGCCATTCTGAAAAATGTCGCCCTTGTTTGAGACAAAAAAGTTTAACACTTTTTCTTTGAAAAACGCTCAACTTTCATTTAATAGGATTCTCATTTTCTCAAAGCCTTGGCATTACTTGCCGTTACTCATTTGGTTACCACCTCATTCCAATCAGTATGAGCGCCTGCCATTTTCTGATCGCTAATACCAGTGGAGTGATCCTCTAACGACTTCCGTAGAACGAAAAAACGTACAACTGGTACTTGCTATTTCCCTCTCACCCCCTAACTGAACCTTTGGATGATTCTATCGATGATTTTATGTGACATATACTTAAGATACAGTAACTTGTACTCATTTTACACTCGGCTATTTCTTCGTACTAAACTATTTTAATCAATTATCTCCATCTTTTTGATGACTAATCGCCATCCTCGACAATTCGAGGGGCAAAGTTTAAAGCGATAGCTATCTCACAAAAACCCTCCTATTCGTGTTCCCTGAACTTCGCTTTTGCCTTTGATTAATATTTTTCTTTTCTATCGATTTCTGATGGCAAACATTTTATAAGATCGATATCTCGACAAATTTTTCTTATTCATTGCAGACCGGGTTAACGGCCCGTTTCGAGGCTTTCAAAAAGGTATGTCTACTGCTCAGAGAAGTCGCGTTCATGAATCGAATGCACGACAAGGAAAGGCATACAGTCAAAGTGACTACAGTAGGTCTTTCAGTTCGTTTTCATCGGCATTCACGCGTATGATAGCACTATAACATATGACAACGACAACGCACCAACGGTTGGAAGTCGTAGGATACGTCTCCTCTCCGATTTTTATCATTCTCTTCGTTCTATCGTGAGAAACGGTGAGATCTATGTTGTGGTGGAGTGAGATGGCCCCGTGATTTCAAGAAAGAAAGTAATCAAGTCTGCATAGAAGGATGATCAAGAACTAGGTAGTGATGACGCTCACAGTTACTGAATCAAATCCCGAATTAAAACGGCTCATGACAAGTCTCTATACCCCCATTCTCAATTACCCAATTGACCGGTGTCGAATGCTTTTGATGTTAATAGAGACTGGCATTAACGTCAGCCGGCCCATGCATTTGGCATGTTCTATGTACGATTAGTAGCTGCGATCACAAGTTGGCAATACCCACCTCCAGCTCTGCTCCTGTCAAGTATAGCCGCAGCACTAGATTTGGGAATGATGTCCAACACCTTCGGTACTTTGGACAGTATAAAAGGGGTCTGTTTCTTATCAGTAGCCCATCCCGCAAATACACGATGATCAAGATCTTCAGCAACTTCTTTTTGTATCTCGTAAAGGATGCCACGTACTTGTCTAGGGGTGAAATAGAATCGTTTCTGGGCAGAAAGGGCTCCTCTGAGTTGTCACTACAAGGCATTGATCGCATTATTCTGTAGAGGTTGGTGCAACGCAGCTCTCAACACAAGCTCCGAGCATTTTGCAACAAGCCTCTATCAACAAAGAAAGAGGTTGGTTTCTTAGTTGCAATGAGCCAAAGTGGTCGAAACTGTGTTTTCTCAGCAGTTTGAAGAAGTTCATGAGCTCGATGAAGTTCGTTATGACCCTTGAGACTGGAACAGCAAAGAAAAAGTAGTAAATGTCGGAGAAAACTTTTTGCTTTGGCGCGAGAAACATCACATACTTGTTTTGACTTTGAGAATTGATCTGAAAACTTCCTTCGTCATCACATCAAGAAAACCGTAAAAGACACAGGATCGAATTTTTTGCGAAACATTCTTTGGATATAGTCCATAAGCCAGAGCAATTTAAACTTATTTCCTTTTGATTACGACTTGAAATATCCTCAATCCTACAAATTCATTGCTAGCATTTCTCACTTCCTTTTATAGGCGGGCATTGCTCCGGCTGCGCTGTAGATAAATCTTGAGGGGCAACAACAATAATAGTGGCTGGGACGGAGACTCGAATACAGAGAGGTAGCAGAGCAAACTTACAGATGTCACTAAACGCGTACTCGAATAGCTTGAGTCTGATTGTGGGATTAAGAACGATATCAACAGTACGTATCATCAAACTGGGATTATCAGCAGATTTGAAACTGAGAGGATGAAGGATGAGGATGTAGAACTCACATAAAAGTGCCGAATTGGTTCGTTAACCTGGCAGAAGTCAGAGCAGAGCGTGAAGAACGTATGTCCATCGTAGGTGACGTTGGTGGTCACAAAATCCAGTTGTTTTACTGCTTCCTTCATGTACTCGAGGCGGGCCATCGAACCACCATCCTTGGCGACCACTATGGCAAACACCATGATCGGATCACCTTTCGATTCGAAATATTCACTGTAAACAGCGATTTCCGATCGTGATCGAGCTCCATTTGGTGTATAACCTGAAACATCCGAATCGTTGATGACATAGAAGGAGGCTTGTACTATCAAGCGTGGGTAAAGGCAAAAGTCATCGCAAGAGAAGTTTCCCTTTTCCCGTTCGCGCGTTTTCTATTGACCCACGCACTCAGGAACAGCACTGCAGAAAAGATATGTTAGGTGGCGGCAGTTCTTATGTTAAAGCTATCAAAACGCAAGGGCAGTTCCAGCGATCGGTCATCGTAGTGGTAGTGACATTTTTTCGGAAGGGAACGGAAAGAGAAAAGTTGTTCGCGAAGGGAAATGGCAGTAAAATGACTAGTGCTCCCTAGCAGTGGCTGAGACTCCTCCTGAGAAATACCTGGACACTCAGAATGGGCGGAAAATGGGCAATCAATCAGGAGCAGATCAACATCGGTGCTTGCTGTAAGTGACTCAAAAAAGTGTCATCGGTATCCGCACATCGAATCGTAGACAACTAGGGCTAACTCTCGGGGAGGATTCCATTTCGAGAGTGACTGTTCCTTTGGTCATAAATGTGCTCATAAAATGGCGCTCACTGGTTCCAAATACTTCCGAACACTGCTCGGGATGTTTGAATTTCTATTTTGTAATCACTCAGGTGATATGGGCAAATCATCCTCCGCCGGGATACCCGGCTACATTCGAACGCCACTTTGCAATATGAAAGTACTCCTAGACGTAACCTTCCTACCGTAGCGGACAACCACGTTGAAAACTTTGAAAATGCGACGTGTGGATAGAGAGGGCCTGTGCGACAGCCGCGGCTAGCGCAAAAACCACTGCGCGACGCATTTCAATTAATGGCGATTCCGCTGACCGTGATCCTTTGATTTGCATTTGCACTTCAATCTTCAAAATTAGTAGTCTTCGAATGAGAAATATCATAATTTGAACATTCGCGAATTCCGGCATTCGAGTAGCCAAAAAATATGGCCTGTTGAGGCAGCTGGTAACAGTCCCTAACTAAAGGGATTATGCATTTCGGAAAAAGGAAGTTAGGGGTTGCACCACACCATTTTACGAACCAGAATCGGATGCACAGCTGGCCGTTTTTATTTTCTGCCCTTTGCCCATAGGAACCTCATATAAGGGGGGGGGGGGTGGCCACCGCTTTCGCTGACCGTCAGAGCAATACTCCAAAGAATAACCACGCGAACGCGAAAACAGCGCGTGAACTGTCACTATGGTCATACCGTAATTTCAGAACTTCTTTCTTTCGCTTTTTTCTTATGAAAACGCAGTTCATCTCAAGTGCGTGTCCGTTCGATGCCATCCGTGGGACAGTCAATGGCCATCAATGGCCATGTTCTTTCTGTGCAACTGTCGTCGTGTTGTCGAGCAAGGTCGCTTGGATAGTAGAAGAGGCGAGGAAAAAACGACGACATGCACATTGCATTTGAACCAGTCATGTGCACTCATATATATGACGGCTACAGATGGCTCAAAAGAACAACTTGAGATTTTCTTACTGCCGTTTATGACTTCTTTTGCCAACATAGCACTAGGAGAACTTGAAATGTACAATGGAACAGAAGAGGAGGACAATGATGAAACTCGCTTGCCCTTCGCTAATCTCTAGCTACGTCCGATTGGGGAACGGCATCTATTTGGGAAAGGTAATGGTGGTACTTGTGTAGACTGTTTGTTGATGTGTATTGTGTTCCTTGAACGAACGGGTCCCAAAAAAGCCCTAAATTGACGCCAAAATGAGCGTCGTGAATAAGGGCGTATGATCAGCTACCAGTCCGTTTTTTTGCGATCAACAACTGTTTCAGAGCATCCATCAATCTGAAACATACTTCAGGCAAGAAAAATCAATGTCAGAGTCGTCAATCATTCTCCAAGTAAGCGATTCAGATTGTATGCCGATTTTAGCTTGATTGCATTTGTAGGATTCATTTTTCAAGCGGGATTTCCCTTTTGTAGCATCTTGTTTGCATACATCGCTCATGAGGCGGTGACGTAAAAACCGGCTGGGGGTGGAATGGTGGGGTTTGATAGTCGGTCGGGCTTCATCTATGTGAAATAACGTCATCTCATGACAAGAAAACTCGATTTTTCGAGGGCAATATGCGGTCGACCCCAGTGTAGGGTGAAATCCATCGTAATTCTTTGCTACCAAACGATTGTCTCGGAACAAACCTGTTCGAATATCGTCCTGTTGCGGTGTAAAGGCGATTTTGGCGGAAGTGAATATGGTGAAGAGAAGGACAACCTGAAAAAGAAAAAGAGGTCCTTTCGGCATTAGACACAAGTCTAGTTGCAGAAGTATATATTGAAGCTATATTTGATTCAATTTCAAGAATAAATGCATGGTCGCCCTTAGACTGCCTTGAGCAGAGCCTACAGATTTGGTAAGCCGAGGAATTGGCATCCTAGGTACGTCCCAATGGCGGAATTCGTTGAGTACGGAGGAGTGAGTAGTGATTATGAGTTTGAGGCTGATCCGTCGATACGGTTCTGAATCTTGGCAGCTGATACTACTGTTTCTCTGAGTCGCCGACCATAAACAAACGGCTCAAGATTGTAGCAGTGACGGAAGGGCGCCACAAGTCTCCATAGCAGGAACTGATTTTCAGCGAAATATTTCGTTTCTAATAAGGATAAAATGGATAATGTCTATTGGCATCACTTAATCCCGTCTAAGGGAAGCGCCCCTCATTCGACTCCAATTCACACTTGTAGTGGCTTATTGAATCCGAATGCAGCAATATGAAGTGACTTGCGGTAGTCAGCCGATGTACGGTTAGCACCTTCTCCTACCAGACGAATCTGGTACCGATTGACCGATCTCGAAGTTATGAGTGGTTTCGTTTGCCCGGGAAGATATGTTATAGATCCAGGATTCGAACCAGTAACAATGCGTATGTGCTAGTGAGCCCCACCCTTCCGATAACAAATGAAATGAAGTTTATAAAGTGATACATTTTATAGTTCAAGACCGAAAAGTTACGAGGTAGTCGAGAAACCAAAGGGCTAACAAGATGTTTGTGTCTGAAAGGCGTCCCAAATTGGGCTTCAGACCTTTTTTAGTTCTTTCTCCTTGTCAATATGGCCGAATGGGAAGCCTGTACTTTATGCTGAAGTGTAATCGTAGGGGAAAACTATTTAGCGAGCAACCCTTGGATATTGTTTTTGGCCGAAAAACGACAGTAACAATCCTACTGTTGAGTGGGTTCGCTTTGTGCCACACCTATTTTCGGTTTGATCTGGCTGTGCGCCAGATGCCCCTGATGCATCTTCAGATTCTTTTCTTTTTCATCGCCATCTGTTGGTGTGTTCCCGACAAGCACATTGGTCAGTAGTTGCAATTCAAAAAGAGTACAAACAAGCTCTTGGAACAGGGTCCTGGTCTAAGCCATTGATGTTGTCGTTGGAGCAGCTTCTCAGTATGTTGTGTGGTGATCCAAGCCTCGGAGCAGAATAGTTGACCTAGTGGCAGGGACCAGCTCTCTAGGATTGATCGCGCCAAGAGTTTCAGTCGAGTAGCTGCTATTTACTATTATGCTATTTGTTATGCTTTACTATTATGCTGCTGTACCGTATAAGTTTGATACAGTGGGACTCCTGCATTATGTTGTCGTTGCAGAAAAACGGTTCCAGGAAGATTGAAAATATATGTATACTCGTCTTCAATCATACTGTCTTCTGAATGCGCATCCGACCCAAACGTTTAGTTTAGGGCCAGTCGATGATCATTTCAGTGCATCCATCTTCCCTAACAACATCCCCTATTCCATCTTACCTGACTTCACAGAATTTCGAAAACATCGATAGACACAGGACAGTGTAAGAAAAATACTTGACGAAGAGGGTGGTCACGCAGTTGAGAGTGAGCCATACGGCCTTCCACTATGCTTCTTTCGTTCTGGAATTTGTCCAACGTCACAAGCAGCTGATCGATTATTGATCACCGTTTCTCTCTATCACATCTACAGCTCGCTATTGTTGCCACTTTGCTTGTGGGGCTCTCGAGTCAAGGGTCGAAGTACGTTTCACCTTCCTCCTGACGGATTGACTGCCAAACCACTTTTTATTATTCTCACACAAAAAGTATCCTAAACATTGTGACAAACAGACTGTTGCTGAAGGTCAGTACTAAGTTAGAAAGTAGTCACGAGTGTGAGCCGTCCCGGCTTAACAGGTAGTTCGATAACTCGTAAACTCGACAGATCATTGCCATTACTGTTCTGAATGGCTGGTACTCTCGGTAACGTACTTTCTCAGTACAGTGATGAAATTACAGATAACAGCAAAGATCTTCGAAACCAATGGCGGAACTGTTCAATGAATCCATCAACGAATTGCTTTTTTTGCTAGTCGAAAACCGGCTGATATTATTAATCAGTTGTAGCAAATGTGTTCTTCCATAAGTGCGCTCTTTAGACAAGAATTGGTCGAATACAGTCTTGGAAGGTGTGATGACTAAATTACAGTTCAGTTTCGTACAATGAACGATGTTGAATGAGGAATCGATTGGATGAAGACATTTTCAAACTTCAAAAGCTCATAGAAGTACTTCCTTGTAATGTGATTCTGGCACTTTGATCGAGGAATACTCGAATGAGGTTTGGTATCGAATGGTATTTCTCGCATAATTGCAAGACGGATGGAGATGGTGTAGAATCAAACAGCAAGCTATCACATGCGCATGGTCACAGGTTCAGATCCCGGATCAATATTCGCCTAGGCCAACCAAGCCTTCCATCCCTCGGGGGTCCGTCCATTGGTACCAGACTCGTGCTAGAGGATAAGCACTGTTTTCTACAATTAATAGGCCCCGGAAGTCATTGTATAGCCCACGTCCATATTCAATAGGCCACTACGATTTGAACTCGAATGTTTTCGAACGCCCAAAGACTACTCTTTTTTTCTAATAGGAAGAAGGGGTCCTCCGAAGAACGTTCCTGAGATCAGCGAGCGCTTTTGTTTATGAAAGTCACCAATTATCCCTCAGCGTCAGTCGCTCAGTACGATTTGACGGTTGCATCCGGTCAATCATGACTTACAGATACTGTAGATACCGTACTTTCATGAAAAGCAGTACTAGGCAAAAGAGGATTGGCTGTACGAGTTTTCTCCGGCTACTTCGCCTCTATTCACATTGGAACTGACACGATAGTGTTCAAAATCGTTGTTGTATGCTTCTTTGCCTTCCTGTACTTACTTCTCTGTTGGAATTTCCTTGGATCCTGACATTACCACAAAAACAAATACAGGTCGTGGTTTGAAGGCTAAAAATGCTCCCGACTGTGGTGAGTCAGGCGTATTCCAACCGTTCCTTCAATCCTGCTCTCCAGGAAACAAAATGCCACTTTGATCGAACCCGGAAAGTACGCAAACCTATCTTGATAAAAAGTCCATCGGTCTCTCTCTCTCAGTACCAAGGCGAAAAAGGCTCTAGTAAATGGGGTTTAGAAACGTCACAACTGTGACTAATTTCGAGGTCATACGCTTTTAATGGCGTCTTCGTCCAATTGCAGAAGCATTTGCATTTTTTCACTGTATGGAACTGGTGAGCCATGCACTTTGTATCGAAAACCTCAGTCCACTCTCCAAAAGCGTTGAGCTGCCAAAACAGATTTCTCATTAGTAAAGGCGATGTAGATTATATGGCAACACCGCAGGAATCTTTAATTGTCACTTATTCTGTAACATTAGTTGTACACCGTTCAGAATGGAAGGTATTGAGAGCCTTGATGTTCCAGTGGTAAAGCCTTACGTGTCCGGTAACAGAGGGTAAAAACGACACAACCGACGGCTACGGCTTCTCTAGAATAAGGCAAGCAACATAGGTGGGAAGAGTATTTGTGATGCTAGACGTCGGCCGTATGATGAAGGGTTACTTGTGCTACAATGATCCTAGCTAGAGAGCAGAGGTTGCCCTGTAGGTATGAACTTAACAATTCCAAAAATACTGCATCGCGACGAAACAGACTTCTTCCAGCTGTAATAAGGTGTAGTTCAAAGAATTGATATGATATGAGATTTGCGATTTTCAGAACTGCTTCTTACATTAGCTTGTTTTTTCTTCGAGGAGAGAAATGCGTTTTTTTAGCCATCAGCTTAGCTTT